TGCCGTGCACTATACGTATCTAAATATACGTGTATTTAATAATATGCGTGTGCGCGGTTCGAATTCGATTGCGGTGATGAGACACGCGCGCACGCTGCAGAGGTCGCGCGAGATCTCTCTCTCGCGCGCGCGGTGATGATGTCACCTCTTCTGGTTCCCCGCCGACGCCTCTACGCCCGCACTCGGAACGGGAAAAAAATTACTTAAATAGCGCGTCGTCGTCCTTCTCCTTCTCCTCCTCCTCAACCTTGTCCGCTACATCGCAACTCGCTACAACTAGTAACTACAACAGCTTACAGCGTCAGCGACGGAGTATTGTCGGACGTACATGTAGTACGCCGTTTAGTCATCTGCCGAACAACCACTGCTACCCCTCCTTCCCCCCTTCACCCCTCCCACCAGACATTCCAGAACTGTTTCATCATCGCCACCAGCATGATATCGTCGTCGAATCCCCGCGCACCGCCCCCATCATTGGCCGTCATAATAATATATTTGTTCCATAAATTTCGTCGTCCACACATGTTCGTCGTCTACACACACGATAATATATTATTTTACTTGTGCTGCCTCTGTAAACACAATATTATAGGACCATGGTAATTAACAGTGTGCTCTTATTATACACCCGCCGCCGCATGACGTGTGGTCCGTTTTCACATCCGCCGAGTCATCGTTATATCGTTATTATTATTGCTGCAACCGATCGTTCCCWTCGTCGTCGTCGCCATCGACACATATGCGAACGAAACGCCGCTGTGTGCGTGGTGTCCGTCGACCGGGCTGACTCGATTCCGTCTCTATTCCGACGCGCGTCTGATATCCACGTGGTTACATGTGGTTACAGAGCGGTCGCGGGTCTTTGTTATTATTATATTTTGTTAATCGTCTTCCGTTGTGGTTGCGTTCGGCCACCTCCACCTGAACGCCGCCGACGCCCAACTGCCGACCCTTCCCCCATACCTCGCCMTCAAGCACCGACATCTCTTTGGTTCGGCCGCCGCGTGTCAATATTCAAATAATAATAATAATTGTATTGTGCGATCGACCGCGATATGCGTGCATGCGGGTCGCCTCCCCTCACCACTCCACCACCGACGATCGCCTCGCTGGCGTATTTTTTTCCATTCCAACAATATTCGTATTGAATAATAATCGTGTTCGTGTACGACCGCATTGTGTGTGCGTATAAAAATGTATAATATTATTATACTGTACGAAATTATATTTATACAAACGTGCTCGACGCGCCGCATAAAAAAACCGTCGCCGCCGTCGTCACGTGTATAATATGTATAACATCGGACGGCGGCCAGAAACGTTTGCTCGTCACGGTGAAAAAAAATAATCATACACTCGAAATTCCGGATGTCGCGAAAACAAAAAAACTCTTCCACGTGTAGTGCTGAGCGGCGGTGGTTGCGAGCGGGTCGTTATGCTTATGATATTATTGCGAGTGTCCTCACCACGGACTACGAACGTTAACTATGTAATACTACGAAACATAATATATTATAATATGTATTTCATGTGCACGAAAAAAACAAACAGTCTACACACGACGTGAACACCACGGAATTTCGGTTTTCTCCCTCCCCCCCGACCATCTATCCACAGCGGCGTTGTCGTTGTCGTCGTCGTCGTCCCAGGTCGTCGAACCCCGACGCCGCGGTCGGTGGCGTAGTAGGCTCGRATAGGCCCGACGCGTGCCTACTGCTTCAACGGCATTTGCGCTGCCGTTGACATTTCGTCACGACTGTAATACGTCTTTGGAAACGGGCCGGTCGAAAAGGTCATTGGGTCGGCCGCGGCCACGCCTCCGGTATGCACGCGGTCGAGGTATGCGCCGCGGCCGWCGTTCAATTACTTATCGCCGCGGACAACCCCTTCCCCGTGCAGAGTTACGCGACTTTGGCGGAACACAACGACAAAGTGTCTGTTGTTTGTAAATCGCCGGCGAGCGGCATAGACTACGCCCTTATAACGAATAACGAGACAACTTGCGCTTTCCGTCCGCGTTTTCTGTAATATACAACGCGGATATCACAATACAACTGCAGTGTCTATATATAACATAATATTATTATTATGTGTATAGTATTGTGTGCACGCCGCCACCGCCGCCGAGTTAATTAAATTATACACTGAATGCGACCATGGGGCCGTGTCGGTCCGGCGGGCCGGCTACGCCCTCCTCGGTGTTGGCCATGTCGACGAGGGTTGAGCGTTGACGACCGGAGCGGGGGAAAGGGTGATCGGCGTGCGTGTACRACGATCGCGGTCGGTCGCTCCGGCGGTGGTCGAGTCGATCGTGTGTCACTGTCGCGGCCGCTTGATCGACAGCTCAGGACGATGGTATATAATATAACATTATTATTAAAAATAAACCGTCAGACTGGGTGTTGTTTGTTCTCWTCGGAGACGCGCGCGTGCCACTAGGGCGAGGACGCGAGGTGTATATCGGTGTGAAACACGACCTCGGACCGGCGGCCAAAGTTTCGGGTTCGATTGATGTCATATCGAAGTCGTCGTACAACAACTATAATATATAATATGATACGATAATAAATATATGGTCCTCTGTTGCTGACGGATTTTGTAAGRCTCGCACGTAGCAATTTAAACACGGCAATAATAGGTACAATGTATGACACGGCGTGTAAATGGCAATTATTACGCGATTACGGTCATTACGCACGTCTCGTTTGATATTCAAACGACGGCGCTCGGCGAAGGATCTCCGCCGTGCACAACACGCTCCTACGCTCGAGTCGGTCGATRATAGTCATAAATATTAAATAATAATGTTATGATCGTATTATTATTATTATTGTTATTATCATATTATTGACGACGACAACTGTGGCGTGTATGCGCGATGCGAGTGTGTGGCGGAGGCGGGTTGCGTTTGTAACCACACCGCCGCCGACGCCGCTGTCGCCGCCGTTATTTAAGTATCATCATCATCATTATTATTGTCGACGGCAATCCGCCGCCAATGCAACACAACAATAATACCCTTCCCCCCCCCGCCACCGCCGACGTGTCGAGTGTATAACAATCGGACTTGCAGGAGAGACGCGAAAACAATAACAATACTGTTAATAATGTAATGCTGCCCGACAATAATTATTATTATTATAATACCTAATGGTATTTCGGTATTGTGTACCGCCGCGGACGTTTCTCCGCGTCAAGGAATGCCGTCGGCAGCGACGGCCGCCTCGAGGAGAAACCACCGTGGTCGCTGCAGCGATCGCGTTTTCCAGCCGCCGTCTCGGCGGTATTTTTGATATTTCGTAGGCTCGGAAGTCGGCGTTTTTGTTATTCGCGTCGCCGGACGAGGATCCGGAAGAGCGTTTCGTGCACGTGTGACGTGCGTAATAGTTCGTATAAGGAACCGCCGTCGCACAACCGCGATTCACGCGATGCCGCGTGCGACGTCCGTGGTGGCATAARACGCGACGCGTCGTGTTTTTAAAAAAAAGTTTTTTTTCCCAAACAGTTATAGGCATTTCGTTATAAATAAATCGGACGGAGGTTYGCACGCTGAAATTTAATAAAATAATACTATTATAGTTTGTATTATGATAATGTACTGCAATGTGCTTAGGTGCTGCAGCTAATCATAGATGCTAATCATAGGTATACTTCAATTTAAGTATTAAATCCTTTATTAATTATCTAATCTACATCTACACAACAGTATACTGTTTATATGATTAAAATCGTTGCTTGAAGAAATTATTTTTTAAGTTTAAACAACGATTCATTTTTCGTATGTTATATTGTTATCCATATCGTATCACCCGATTCACCCGCAAAACAATATTTAAGTTYAATAATAATTTTACAAATTATTATATTGAACAAGATAATATGTCGATTGAATTATTCTCTCCATCGAACAAATTTTGAGTAAATTTGTMATGCCGAACCGACGTTTATACAATTATATCATAATATAATACATATAAGTACCTAAATATTGTTATTTGTTTTAGTAAAAATATTTTCCCTTTAATAATAGATGTATTTTAATAAAACATGATATTGGTATTTAAAATGGTATGTAAACAGTGGTTTTGGGGGGGGGCAGAGCCCCCCACGGGCCTGTTGCATTTAAATATGTAAAGCCCATTCAAGTTAAAAAAAACAAAATTGCGCCTATGTGCAGCTTGATCGTCGTGACTAAAATTGCCTTGGCTCCCTGCAGCCTCCCTCGAATCCCATCGAGTGTTAAATATTTGTGTGCCTGTATATATAGGTAATATCAATCGAAGATTACTAGGTTTGAATCTATGGAATGAAAGAAATTTAAAAAAATAAAATATTTCGAAATTTACGTGGATGAAGTAGAATTATATATATTATATTATGTATGTCGAGTAAAGTTAAGTTTAAAAATAGATACAACAATAGTAAATTATTGCTATTATGCATTTTAAAAATAATTATGCAATAATGAAAACAGGTGTGTAACAGTTTCGGCACTGTTCCAATTTTTTTAAGTGCTCAATCGTATAATATAGTACCGCTTATTTTGATTCTACGCCCAGCGTGTTAAATGCAGACAGATCTGATCTTACTGTCTTGGCTAGAAGACGGTCGTAGATTAGATTGGATACATTTCCAAGGCGGAGGGGAACATGTAAAATAGAAACTTTTGTATTGAAATGTTAGTTGCGTATATTTGCCAACAGTTGTGAAATATTGGATTGACTTTAACACAAATTTAATCGACATAAAATAAAATTTACTAAATATATATATCGTGGAAATATAGGCTGTATTTATAAGTATTTTAATGAACAAAATTGTTATTTTGAATGGTTTTTGAATACCCTAAACTTATCTTATCCCTTAGGTAACTTAAGGCCAATAGCCCACAGCCTTAGTTTACAATTTCATGTTACTATAAATAGTTATATATAAAATACCGGTTATTACATGTACGTCTAAACTATACATAACTGATCGTTTGTTTTGGTTTTTCACAGGTGAATGTCGCACCTTACGAGAGGACAACTACCAGCTACAACGAATTCGCCGAGATGATAAAAGCTCAGATTCTTTGCCCAAAATTGCCGTTGGTGACGAAGATGAGGATTCAGAAAGTCAAGATGTATCATCCGAAATCGGTGGTGTTAACACAATGCCCAGCTTACTCACATCTGGACTTGTTGTAGAAACTATCGAAGGGACAACGGTGAATCTTCCTTGCAAGGTTGCCAATGGTTCTGGTAAGTACCTAATGCAGAATAGTTATAAGAATTATTAATCTTAGTTTTTATCGACATTATAATATTCAGATACGTTTTTTTACTTGTTATTCGTGATAAGCATTGGTACAAATATGGAGGGAGGTCTTAGAGCCAAATACTATACCAAGCCACTCCTATAATTAAGACTTCATAAAATATCAAAGTACCTATATTAGCTAGTGAAAAAATTAAAATGTTCTTATTGTGGTACTGTATTTCTGATAGTTAATAAAAACATTGAATATATATACAATAAGAGTCGTTATTTTCCGTTGAAAATGTGGTTAAAGAATTTCTATGACTAGGTATACTATTATGTAATATTGTACTACAAATTTCTATACATGTGATCATCATCTACTCCAATATAGCTTATAGATGTAATTTGATGTTTAAAATTTTAAATAACATATCGAATATAATAATTATGTAATTTATAATTTTTATATTAATTTTTATTTGTTAAAAACTATATTTATATAGGGAGAGAGTACTTGCTATAACTTCAATATTGTAAAGAATATAAGTGACATTGGTGCGTTATAAATACTGCWCTTTTTTAGTWGTGCTATGTAGTATGTATACATTATTATGTTTATAATGTAGCGTTAAATGCAATACCAACCAAAACCAATGTTATATTATGCTTATGTGTTCAATCAATCTATAATAATGTTTATTTCTAAAAAAAATGTCTACGTAGGTTGAAATCATTACAAGACTTCGTTCTATATATATTGTGTTACATTATAGATGATTACGCAGTAATTTGGATAAATGGCACCAAGAGCATAATGACCGACTATTATCCGATGACTGCAGACGTGAGGGTCAAACCTGGAACGCAATCGGAGACATCTGCAGGAATTCAGGAACACACACTAATCATTGAGCAAGTAACGAGGCAGGATTCTGGATCCTACACGTGCAGGATTACAACAACACCCCCCATTGAGATAACCCATACCCTTCGTGTCACACGTCAGTACTTATCTGTATATTTTATTACCCTCTCCGTATTGTTGCCGAGCGCCGGTCTGGCGTCGTCTGCGGTGTAGATAAGATTTTTGTTTGGTTTTTCATTTCGGRGTAAATGGGAATTAATGTGCAAAGTGTGTTGTCGTCGGGACGTAGCGTAAGTTATCACCTCTTATACTGCGAGTGATTTTTYTGAGGATCGGCGGGGGGCCGGCTGCAATGGCCTAACCATTTAAAACGCAAATACTTAACCGGCGCTCGTKGTGATCAATATAGTTTACTTATATTTACTATTTAGTGACTGTATTTTGATGCATTACGTAACGTTCTTTATACAGACCCGGCTAAAGTTTTGGCAGTACAAGCAATGGGACACCCCGGGTCTATGACTCCCGGAGGTACGAAAAAGTTGACGGTAAAACAAGGTGAACTAGTGCAACTGGTATGCAGCGTGGCGGGGTACCCGGAACCTACAGTTCAATGGACCAAAAGGGTAATGATTTGCGCGACGAATTTATCGGTTAACAATTGTTAATAAGTTCTTGATGTAATCCGTCGTACACAGACTAAATACCACCAGCAACCTCATCAGTCGACCACGGAATCTCCAGACCACGATCAAAAGGTCGCGGATTCTGTACCACCAACTCCCACGTCGGTTGTCGTATCAAACACGAATGAGGTCCGTATCGAATCCGTACTCGCATATCGTGATGCCGGTTACTATGAGTGCTCGGCACACAACAGCATTACAACCGGATCCACTTCGGGAGGGTCMAACGGGGCAAACGCACATTTGGGAATAGAACTGGAAGTTGAGTGTAAGTAGTATACCTAAATGTCGATATAAATAAAATTCTTTGAAATACTTGAAAAATAAAAATTTCAATTTTAACTCATCATATTCATAATATATGTAAAAGTATAATAATAATTTATGTATTTTATATGGTAAATTATTATTATTATTAATTAAAGTCATTGTTACAAATAACACTCATTTAATTTTTTTCAACAAATTTATCCGTCATTTATATCAATGATTTAATTATTAATAATTARTAATTCCATGGCGAACTTAATGTTAAATAACACAATCATTATATGTTCAATTGACAACAATTGTCAATGGAATTCACGATTCACGAAATCATCACTATATAAAATCTAAATYTAAATCAATCACTCGAAAATAAAAATTAAAGCATTCAATACAAACAAAAAACACAATTTAAATAWTTTAGCATTTAAGAAAGTGTTCACAATATACCTACCGATAAAAGTGTTTGAATACTTTACAACAATATTTTATAATATAATATAATAGCGATATTGAATATTTTGAACATTTTTTTGTCTCCGTTCGTTTTTTTTAATCTGGTGTGTCATTCACTGCAGTCTTGCCAGACATCGTAGTGCCCCGGCTCGTCGTCAACACCGGAGAAACGTACGTCGCTCAGATGGCGTGTTCCGTGCAAGCGTACCCCAAGGTGAAAGTCACGTGGGAAAAGGAAGTGCTGAATCCGAACGGACCGCCGTCGTCGACACCCGTGGTCGCCGAAGGCCCCAACAGCCGATACGAAACGGCCAGGCTACCACCCTCCCTAAACACGTTCCAAGGCTCAGGTAACGCAACCGCGACGTCGGCCGGACCCACTTTCGTGCTCAAAGTGAATCAGGTGCAAGGGCCACAAGATTTTGGTCGGTACAGGTGTCGAGCCGAGAACCGTGTGGGCGTCTCTTATTCGGATTACATAACATTGACCGGTACGAATAATACACACTCACTTTACTTTAGACGACTTTACTTTAGCGTGTCGCAATTGACGKTTTGCAAATCATTTCTGTCTGTTATAGGTTCGCCGGCTCGACCCCAATCATCGTACGTACAGGTCAAGGGCAAGGCACCTGAACTGGCATGGACCGTGGACAGTTGGTCGCCACTGATCGAATACCAGTTGCAGTACAGGCGGCAACAGGTATATGCAAATAATATAATACGTCAATTTAAATAGCCAWTAAACTTGTCGTGGTCGTTAGTGCCACCTAACCAAAATTTATTGCTTAGAGACATAGTGTGTCAYATATTGACATTTACCTCAACAACCACCCCCGCCTATATACACGAATATGGTCACCATAATATGTTAATCGATAGCTATATCGAGTGATGCTTTGACGCCATTGCAGCCAAATATGTCATCTCATCATTTGCAAGGTGCTAAATATATGTCTTGAAACACTTACCAGGTGCCCGTTGTTCTGGTTTGCATTATTGAGAGAGATGAATTCAAAAAAATTATACACTGCAGGACGACTTGCGCCAGCGTTATCCCTTTTTATCTTTTAATAAGTTGTTTAAAAAAAAGATCTTTGAAATACTTAAAAATAAAAAAACTATGTCATTAAACTTCACTTAATCGTACTATAAAGATCATAATAGTTACACAAAAATATATAATAAATGTATATTACATCATATGAGAGCTCGGACAAATTTTACAAATTATAAAATGTTAATAAATTAATGTTAATTGCTATGATCTTCAAATATTCATATTATAGCCCCCATATATTCTCAACCTTATCATCGTGTACCTACTATTTATCTATCACACATTTATACTTAGTAGGTACCTAACAAATTTCTTGTAGAACAGAAATAGTGTCTCAAAATACTATAATAATTGTGTGCACAAAAAAAAAACCGACAGCTTATAATCTATAAACTACAAGACAGCCATCGCCCATCCGTTATCGCCGCCTGTATATAATACCTATGTATACCTATGTTATAACACGCGTATGTTTTTCGTGTTTCACAGGACTCACCAGCTTCTTGGACGGACGTCAAGCCACAGCCACAGGTGGTCGAGTCGTCTACTGGTGGAAACGCAGGGGATGAGCGCCGGTACGCCGTGTCTTATGTGTTCGGCAACGACGGTCAGTCGCCACAGCCAGCCGGAGCGCCCGCGACCGTACCGATCACCCTACAACACGGCACTACGTACGTGGCCCGGATCAAGGCTCACAACGTTCACGGCTGGTCAGACTGGTCGACGGAAGTCGTGTTTTCCGGTACGTATACGAAATGATGATAATGAGGAAATTAGAGCTGGAATCTTTATGCAACGTCATTTTTTTTTTTGAGGTTTTTTTTATAACATTATAGCTCCTAAACGAAAGATGTGTTGTAGGTAAAACCAGATAATTTGAATGTAATTTTTATTTTTTGACTAATTTAACTATTCAGGTGATATTTAATGTTTCTTACGTCATTTTCACTTCATAAAAGCAATATTAGTACTTCTATATTAGGTACAAATTGGTCGACGACTAGATAGTGACGAAGGGGAATTACATGTATAATACATTAATACAAAGGTTACCAAACTTCTTATGGTACGACTCATTCTGGAAATAATTTAAATTTTGGCGGCCCACAATAATATCAATGACCTTTTTTTTAAAGTAGGCTCATCATGAATTAATTTTCTTATTTTAACCGTTGACACAAGTATTGTCTCTGTTTCTTCAGTTTCCGTGGGACTTAAAGTCATTGACCTTTTGTTTAACTAGTTCTCCGCAATAATTGCCCAAGAGCACAAAAAAAAAAATTATTAGTTATTTGAAAAAAAAAGTAGATTTAAACTGCGTACGTAGGTATATCATATCGTCTAAACACATGTATAAAAAATGTATTATTTAAAAATTTAACTCGACCCACTAAAAATATAATCGTGACCCACAGTTTGGGAATCTCTATATTAATACACTCATMGATCGCCGTATTAACGTTATCTAAAGACAAAAAATAATTTAAGAGATGATAAAAATATTTMAATTTWAATTTTTCTTCACTATCATGCCTACATGATAGATCAGCTGATCATAATATAATATACAATATGATATTATCTGATGCCCAGGCATGCAACTCCGTTTGCAGTTGCGTGTTTATTTTTTTGACAAGACCTTTTTAAAATGCATATTATTTTTTTATTTTAAAAGAATTTTTCGCTTAAATACCAATTAATTTTTAGGCCTATTTTGGAATCTGTAGTACGTTAAAATYCCAGTCCTAATGGTAATTATATGATGGTGGGTTCGAATAAAATTATATTAAGACGATAGATATCGAGCGGGCGCAATGTTACATAACATTGCATATATTTTGTAGTTCGTGCTCAAGCTCGTTTGTTGATGTACTTACTACATATTGTTTCTCTAAAATTACGTAGCGTAGAAAAAATACATATTATATTATATAGTATTTGGCATGCCGGCTATTACTTATTATTGGCGCACGATTAGAAAAATCAAAAAATTGGAAAGTCAAAAAGATTTTTCAAAATATTTTCTGGTCACCCTGAATTAATCCGACCGCACAGCTTTTGTATTTATTTTTGCACAAAATATTTCAATCTGCAGTATTCCRTAGCTTTAAGGATCCTACCTGATAATTATTGGTTTTAAAGTTTAAAGTCATCGATAACTTTTAATAATCTGACGTTTTATATACCGAGTTAAAAATATGGCTGAGGGTGAGTTGCGGCCCGACCTTTCGTTTCCGGTGTTGGAGACCGGTGAATTCCGGCCCGATAATATTTTAGGTATAGGTTAGTTGTGGCCCGACAATATTTTAGCGATAGGTGAGTTGCGGCCCAAGTAATTATCATTACATATGTACCTTACTTATATAATATACCTATTACCTATGTACCGTATAAACGAATAACGATGAACGAAATGTTCAATACGTATGGGAAATTATACTTTTGTCTATAATATGTTAAAAATAATATAGATCGTTTTATCGTATTATCTGCCATATATGACTTACATTATGAATGCTTTGATATTTTTTGGACATTATTATCATAAATTCATAATATATTACACCTGCAATTATACTTTTATTTTATTTTTATTATTTATTATTTAATATAATGTCATAATATTAATATATTATATTATATTCTATAATTTTATGAATACTTTTTTTTTTATTTACGACCAATATTAATATAAGTACGACAATTTATACTAGAAAATACCTACATAATATTGTGATGTTTATTTACTATATATAGACATATAGTATATAATATATATATATGTAATATATACATTATTGTATGGCCGCAATTCGTACGTACCTTTCATAAACCCAGGCCGCAATTCGTACGTTCCTTTCATAAACCCGGGCCGCAATTCGTACGTTCCTTTCTTAAACCCGGACCGCAACTCGTACGTACCTCTCATAAACCCGGGCCGCAACTCACCAACACTGAAAAATATATTCTTCTTTTGAAATTTGAAGGTGTTTTGAGTTTTCATATGAATTTCATGAATAACATGATAGGAACGTTATTTGAAAACTTAAAAGAACCAGTACAGCATATCATATATTATAGCTCATCATAGTGGTATTTCTCAAACGGCGATTGTAAACTGCGCCCAAAATACAGGTAAACACAAAATCACACATGTAAACTGCGCCCGAGTTTTTATCAAGAGTAAAAAGGTGACATGTAAACTGCGCCCGGTAAAATTACAGGTAAAATAATTAATTCGTTACAGCCATATATAATATGAATAATTAAAAATAAAATATAATTTTAAAAAGCAAAATAAATACAAATATTACAMAYAATAACATATGGTGGATACATATTCATCGATTGGAATTTGACTACTATTTATATTTATTAAATAAATTGTCTAACTTTTCACGTTTTTTTGTTTTGTTTTAGTTTTATAGTTTTGGAATTTAAACGGTTCATTTATACTATTTAGTTTAATGTATATTTCTATTTGAATTTCTTTTAATTTTTCTATGTTYGGCCATCGTGACTTTACTGATTAAAATGAATACGATASGTACTAACAGAACTATGCCGGAAGTAGTGATAACCATCAATTATCGYATTACTGCAATGTAGATATTCAATAACGTGTTGGTATTTCTTGACGAAAATAAAATGTCTGTGATATACTTGAAAAAGTACATAGAAAAACATAGAAACTTTAATAAGTTAATAAGTGGGCGCAGTTTACACTATACCTTTTTAACATAGATAAAATTTCGGGCGCAGTTTACACTATACCTTTTCAACATAGATAAAAATTTGGTCGCAGTTTACAAAAAAAAGGTCATTTGGGCGCAGTTTATGTATGCCCTTCTCAAAGATGTCTCATCCAGTTTAGTTTAGTTGAAAATAAGTTATTTTTTTATAAAATTTGATCGAATTGAATAATAATAATTAAATAGGTATCATACGGTTTTTAATCTTTGACTCCTTGTATTCTTATGCACTGCACCACTACACACACACGCGCTTTGCATTTATTTTTACTTTTGGATGTTATAGACTAAAAGATTTAGGTAAAATTATTTAATGTATAACAAAAACTAGCCAAATACCAAGGATGTACTTATTGAATAAAACTTTTAAAAGCGAAAAGGAGTAATAATAGGAAATTAAAACCCACGAACGAAAAGTCAATTGTTCCGAAACATATTAGAATAGATAACGCGATGGCGATAAGAGATAACAGTGTAAACACGCTATGATGTAGAATATAACTTAAAAGTTAACGATTTCATTTCATTAGGTCATTGCACATTTAAATTTAATAAAAAACAAAAATAATTCTTAGGTCGTAAAACTTAACTTGAGCTACTCGCCGACTTATCGGTGCCAAAATACATGTCATTTAATTTCCAAGTTATTTTCGAAAACGTTTGTTATTTTTTATTACTACTTTGCTAGGTATCCAAGTATTGACAAAATTTATTTTTAGACGATGGAATTTCGATTTGAATTATAACTGATACGAATACAAATAATGCAATTTATTATTATATTCAAATATCTAACGAATTCATAAAAGCAAATAACATACCTATTATAAATTATTATATCATAAATACATTTATGTACCTACCTATTATTTGTCTATTTGCACCATTTGGTCAACCGTGCTTCAAATTTTAAAGTGCCATGACATCCAAATCTCTATTACTCTTATTATTATCGTTGAACTATTTAACAAAACGGCACGGATTTGGTTCACGCGTACTTACGCTTACTTGTACGACACTTGGTTTCTAGGTGGAATGGACGATGACCAAGAGGCCAACGAGATTTCTCAGTACGATGGACATCAACATAACGACCATGTTTTGAGTAAGTATAAAACTAGTGCACACTAGTACACTACCTTCTCACCCCTGTACTCTGTATAGCAAGATCTTAAAAGGCTATGATATTGCTTTAATCATCATTCTTCGTTTATCTAACCTAACCTGCTAAAGCACGTCACGTTATTATACTTATTGGTCTTGAGTAAATCTAGTACTGGCTGTATATTTTTACCGGAAYGTAAACCATTTTTTTTTGTGATCGACCCCTTTTGTAATWTTCAATACCACTAAAACCTATAAAACTGTCCCCCAACGTTTTAAAAATGTTTTGTGTCATTTGAATTTAAATAAAAAAGACAGTCGCTTGAAGAAGTGGGAAAGCCTATCTATTAGGTAGTTATATTGGAAAATTCAAAATGCGTTTCTAGAATTTGGTTGGGGTGGTGGAAAAAACCACCCAATTTCAGCAAAAATTTCAGATACTCGTTTTAGTGCGTTATTATGCGATAGTTGTGAACGATACATAAATATTCGTTTACTACACATGCACTTAAAATATTGAACTTCTTAAAAGTGGGTRGTTAGTATGCGATACATTACTATAACGTTTACTTAAAATTTATTTGGCATTTGCTACTGTAGGTAGTTGTTTGAGTCGGTGCCACTACTTGCCATACACGAAAAATGTTGCGTGCTTACCTTGCCGCTGCACTCAATCAAGCGTATTACTGTATTATGGACCATTAATTGCTGATATAATTTTCATACTTTAGGCACGTAACGTGAATAAAAGGCCATTAGTGTATATGCGATTGCAGTGGTGACACCAGAATTTTAGAATCAAGTGGGCCAAGCTGAGGCCAAAATTTTTTAAATACCACGCTCAATATTTTCATATATTCTAATAAATCATGGTTCATGAGATCATTATTAGTAGCCGATTATGATAAATTTTAAATTTTAAATTATGGGGTAGTCCACGTGGGGRCCCCAAGACTTTTTAAGGTGGGCCCTGGCCCACCCCTGGCGCCGCCACTGCGAGATTGTAAACGAGTATGTCATATTAGTTCGAGTAGAAACGTTTAAATATCTCATGCAAGCATCGGTATTGATAAATTATTTATTATTTATATAATCACCTGCCATCTATTTAAGACAAACTATCTTAGAAACTTAGATTTTTTAAATTTATATTAACTATATTATGTATTGTTTTTGGACACATATAATATTAATATATTTACAATCATCTGCCTACCTATATTTGTACAACCGTTCCAACCAACCCTTGGTTATAGAAGATTAAAATTAATAATTATCTCTGACCCAAGCATGACATGGAGACATGGAAAATTTTTATCAGCAATATCAATTTTGTATTAATACCTTTAATATTAGCRTGAGTCGATCTATAATCAAAGTTAAAGTTAGGAACATTATATAAAATGTTAGTAAGTTTGGTTTTTGACGATATTTCAATTTTAATCTAAATTATGAGTAGATTAAATATTAAAATTTAAACAATTATTGTAAATATACCGATGTAAAAACGCATTTAATGTTCTTATCTTAAAGTTCAATAATAGAATAATTCACTTTGATGTAATATGTAAAGCAACAACACAAAAATGATTTTGCTGATCGTTCATTTGTGATGTTGCGCGTGCATCAGAGAGAAAGCAAATAGTGTGCTTTAATATCATGATGCCACTGCAATCAACAATAAATTCACATTTTATTATGATTATAATCACTGAAATCTTAAAAAGAAGATTTTAAGGGGTTATATATAGGCAATTTAGGTTTGTTTTTTCGAAATAATTCCTATCTATGTGTTATTATTATTATTATTATTTATTTATTTACGGGTAATAACCCAATTACATAAAGATTGTAATTTAGTACATATAGGTATGGTAAAGCATTTGATAAATAACATTTGAAAAAATAAATTAATGAATAACTAAGATAGTATTACTTAATATTCTAATAATACAAAAAACACAATATAGTAAAAATAAAATTTGGAGGAAATACTAAAATTACGAAAAACTCAATAAAGTAGTAAAATGAATAACAAAAATAAATTAAATAAATTTTATTCTTACAAAACTATTGAAAAAAATCGATAGAATTTGGACTGAAATTAAAAAAACCAATTTGTTCATCATTTTATAAATTATAAAATATATTTTGCGCGAAAAAATGCATTAAATTAATTATTTTTTAATATTATGAGTAAATATGATATGTTATTATGGTTTATAAGTCATAATAATAAATATTAGATATGATTCTTAGAAATAAACGCACAAGTTAATATTATGTTGGCGAAATATCTAGACAATCAGATCTAATTCTATAAACTATAATAATACATTTAATTATAAATAAGTGTTATCAATTTTTTCTCATGAGGAGCTTRTAGGTGGCTCCAAATGTAGTCATACAGTGTTAACAATTTGAAAATACTGGGCCTTACCATGATTTCTGTGTAACTGATTACTCCTGTTTAAAGTTCAAAACATTTATATCCGCTATGCATTTATACGTCATTTACTATATATTTCGACCCAACCCATTAATTAAAAGCTTATCGATTTCGATCATGCAATATGGTTTTAGTGAATAAGTATCCTTTTAGTTTATCATGGAAGTCATGTATATTACATTTTTTTGAAAAATATATTGAAATAAATACTTACTCAATAGTTTTAAGTTGTAACTGTAAAAATGCAGTATAAATATTAAATTTTAAATAGGTTTTGA